TAACGGCGACGCCTGCTTATTAGCGGCGGCAAGCCTTTAGCGGCGATGGATTGCATTAGTGGCGACATTTGGAGTATATGAAGCATCAAAAACGACCTTTTAGCGACGACACGTCGCTGCTAAAAGTATTAGCGGCGACAAACACCACTTTTAAGACACCTGTCGCCGGTAATACTCTCATTTCTTGTAGTGACAGGAGCTTTCTTTTTTCTCAAGGTCCGTTTATATGACATGGTTTGCGTGCCTTTATATGTATTCCAGTATTTTATCCGTATATTTTAGTTATTTTCCCACTATGTGGATCGCACACTCCCTTCCATTTTTTTAATCCATGGCATATGATGTTAGGATGAAGGACTTCGACAAACACAAACACATTAATAAAGATGCGAGATATAACATGGTTGACTACTTGATCAGAGTAATCAAGCTACATCCACAAATGAACTTGAGAGAGTTTTTTTTTTGATAATCTTGATTACACACTTTCTGTATTAGGGTTGCAATCATACAGGGAGATCAATTTATAATAAACGTTTGACCTAATTTGTATATATCCATAATGGTAAAAGAAACAAACTATGTCGCTATTTACCGCAATTGCTTACACAGAAATAATCTGTAGACATTGTATATATATATATATATATATATATATATATATATATATATATATATATATATATATATATATATATATATATATATCCTAGCCATCATGATGTTATCTTTAGTTTTTTTGTACATGCTTTTATATATGATGATGCCTTTAAGCTTTAATGGTTAGCACTCAAAAATCTCAAAACGATAGTGGACTACTGCAATATGAATTAGACAATATGCACTGTATTATGAAGAGTCTGCTCACCAAAATGTTCTCAGATCTTGTGATACACTTTGATGGTCCAAACTTGGAGCTTCAAGTGGTGATTATGCCTCTAATAATCTGAATAGTAACGTGGCTCTAGGAAAGCTCAATTGATAAACATTCTTTTCTTTCTGTGATTGTGCATTGATATTATTTTAAATAGAAATCCCAAAAACTCATGTGAATATATGATAGGAATGATAAGATTATAATTGTCATAGCCCTACATATAATGCTTCTGTAATTCTGTTTAGGGGGATGTTGGCATCATAAAAATCAATAAAAAATGAACGTTTGAAATGGCAAAGAGGAACTAGCACTAGTTATTATATTTGGATTTCATGGACCATTGAATTTGATTATATCCTAAACTTTCTACTTGTGTATACATGCTCTCGAGGCCTACTCATTTTGTTAGGTTCTTCAATATGCTTTTGTGTGGACGGGACCGTACTCTCTTTTTATATATTTTACTTGTCTTCCACCACTTGGGATTTCACTACCTTTTTGCTTATTTTATGAAGGGCTTTTGATATTTTCTCATTTAGATGCCTAGTGCATGGTGGCAATCGTGTGGATTCCACAAGCCTTAAAATCTTTAACCATTAAGCTTCCCGTGTTTTGTATGTAGTAGTATTGGCTCTTTCTATTTTTATAAAATAAACATACCGAAATCTCTGCTACAAATGTTATATTTGTATTATGAGGTGTAGAGGTGGTTCAGATGAAGATATGAAGAGAGTTAAGGGCATATTGGGAAACGAGGGTAGTAAGAAGGAAACACTCCTGAATCCTTGTCTATTTTGGTATCTGTACCAAATAGTAAATTAGTTGTTTAAAAGGACCAGGTTTATAAAATTATGGTTTTATTAAAATTATATCATATGAGTGCTTATCGCTTTCTTGCTTTTGCTCAAACATTTATCTTGATTGGATCAGATTGCTTTTGCTCAAACATTTATCTTGATTGGATTAGTTCCAGGAAGTTTCAATTCTTGGAAAAGGGATCTAGTCAAAAGCAGGACCATATTTGGTAAGGGTTGAAGTTAGAACATAACACTCATTAATTTCTTTATCTTTAATAAAAACATAGGAAACCAGAGCAACGATTATACTGTTCTACTCCATTTGGTTGATTTATGAAGGGCTTTTGATGTTTTTTTCTAGTAGGTGGAGTCCTTGATTACTCTTTTTAATGTTTTTTCTAGTAGGTGGAGTCCTTGATTACTCTCCAAAAGAGCCCTTATGGAGAGAGGGGAGACTCCAACAACAGATATAGCCACTTATAAGATTGTGTCACACCAATATCGGATACACTAACAAAAGGCTACTACATTATGACACATAGAAATTAGAATTAAACAAAAAACACTGTATTATGAACAATTTACTCACGGAAACACTTTCCTTAGAAATTTAATTACTTGCTCTTGAGATGTAGACAGTCGATCCTCTACTTATGGGTAGGGAGACTACTTCCATTGATGACGGTGTAAGAAGATTATAGACCACAATGGATGATCTCGCGCATATGAACCGTCAACTGGAAATGGAGAATAAATATCGGGGTATGAATAAAGAGGACCGACAATAAAACATTAAGCAAATAAAGAAGCAATAAATCATAGAGCACCTATACAAACAATAAATCATAAAGTAGGGTCTAAAAACAAGACTGAAAGGGAAAAGGGGAAAAAAGAAGGGAACATATGGGGGGAAGTAACCAGGAAAGTATTGTACAAAAAGCACAAAAATTTAAGGAAACTAAAACTTAAACTACTCCGCTACCCTGATTTTAAACCTTCACAATCTCCTATGAGGTGATGTCCCTGGTATGTTGTGGTCCTCACACCATCAGAAGCACCATCAATCATGACGATCTATACCCTCCTAAACGCAGCCATTGGTTGCATCCTTTGGACATGTTCGAACCACTGCAATCTTCATTTTCTTCAAATTTTCAGTGAACAATGCCACTCCCAATGGAAATCCTAATGTCGTGTTCAGTATCCTGTCCAACAATGTTTTACCACATATCCACCACAACATCCTCATTTGTTTCTTTCTTAAAAATGATGATGTTGGAATTAGTTGAATTAGTTGTTGCCATAAATGATTTTGTATGTTACGATGCCATTTAGCTTTGTTATTTAGCACTCAAAATCTGGAAAGGTACCTTCAAAATCAAAAATATGAATACTTGCTCTATTAATACACTTTAAAGATGCAAACCAGTAGCTTCAAGTGATGATTATGCCTCTAGCAATATGAATAAGAACAATTCCTTTAGAGAATAACACGTTGCACAATTGATAAGTACCCTTGATTCCTCGAAGCACACTAGCATGAAGAAATGAAACAAGATTGACGAATGATAAAAAATGCAAAAGTGGAAATGAAGCTGATAAAATCAGTTCTGCATATTTTCTTACCATGATAGGATAGGATGGTTAAGTTATTACTACAATATAGTGTATATAAGCTGAAACGTATCACAATCCAAATACCATATACTTCAAACAACAATATTCTGTACAAAAACATATTGGAATTACACTAGACTATAATCAAGAAAAAAGACATGCATGCAATGGTAAGTTTGACCATGGCTGCTGTCTGCTGATACTATTTAATCAATTTCTTTTGATTTCTGTATTTATGAATATGAGAAGTGATACAATAATATACAGACACTGCTTAATCTGTTGCCTGAAAGTAATTGTTTGGAAAGTAGCTCAATATATTAGAGGAGCCTTCTCCTTTTCCCTTCATTTTTTTATGCTGTGGGTGGTGTGGATTCCACACTCCTTCCATTTTTTAAACTCATCTTTATGGACTCCACACATCATTCACTTTTATATTTTTTGTGATACTGTTTCATTTTTATATTGAGTGTTGCAGTCGTGTGGATTCCACACTCCTTTTTTCTTTGTTGAGATTGATTACTCTAACTTTAGTTGTGAGTGCACAATCTTTCCTTTTCATTATAAGAAGCTTAAGTTCTCCCTATTGTATTGTTCAAGTAGAATAATTCACAGCACACAAAATTATTCTTCTAGAAAAAGAATATTTGGTGGCAGAACGCAAAGGTAGGCTCATCTTCCAGATCTAAACCTAGTTGATATAGAGTAAATCTGAAACATATGCCAGGGTAACAAACATGTACCCAGTAGAGATAGGAATGTTTGGTACAGATGAAACAAATGGATATAAAAGAAACAAACTAATAATAAGTATAGAAACAAATTAGGTCCATCAGCAGCATTCCTGAGCAAAAGGTATTATATATAGTTATATACATGTATTATAACACAACTTAAACTGGCCATCCTACTTTTATAAAATGTAGGAAAACAGAGCAACGATTATATCGACCTACTCCTATTGCTTCTATAATTCTGTTATGAGGATTAATGCACTCTTTTAACTTGTAACTAGTATTAGTGCTATTTTGTTATCGTAAAAGTGGTCAACAGATCTGAAAATGAGCCTACTAATTCTCTTAGGTTCTTCAATATGTGTGTGTGGTTTCCATTTTTTTTAGGGAAGGCTGTTGATGTTTTTCTTATTTAGATGCCGAGTGCCTACTGGCAATCGTGTGGATTCCACAAGCCTTGAATTTTTTAACCAGCAATCTTCCCTTGTTTTGTATGTGGTTGATCCGACTCGCCGATTTGGTCAATATTATCGACGACGAATAGTAATTATTTAATTATTTATTGAAATTAGGTAGTAGCTATCTTTATATAAAATTTGGATATCTATTAGTATCTTTTAATTTAGGATCGGATTATCTCAGAACACTTTTATATAAGGTTTAGGTATGGTTTTTTTGATTATGATGAATAATAGTTATCGAGTCTTGAACTCTTTGGGAGATTGCCTATTTCTCAAATTACAGGTTTCTATCAGTAGTAGTGGCTCCTTCTATTTCTTTATAATAAACATACCAAAATCTGAGGGCTTGTGGATTTCCCACTATCTTTAACTTTATTAACCACCTACCTATTGATCATTATACAGAAATACATACTATATATAACACATAGGTGGGATTCTATCTTCCACAAGTAACACTTCATTTATCATTCTTTGTGATACAATTTTCTCATTCTTTCTTTCACTTTCATATATGGATGGAAATATTGATGTATGCATTCCGGTTTCTGAGAACAAATCTGAACAAGTACATGGCCAAGTGTCTATAGAAAAAGAATTTGACTACTCACAAAGAGGACAGTGGCTGCGTGCTGCTGTTCTGGGAGCCACTGATGGTCTAGTCTCTGTCTCATCTCTGATGATGGGTGTTGGAGCTGTCAAACAAGATGTGAGAGCCATGTTTCTAACAGGCTTTGCTGGCTTAGTTGCAGGTGCATGCAGTATGGCAATAGGTGAGTTTGTTTCAGTCTACTCCCAACGAGATGTAGAGTTGGCTCAGATGAAGAGAGATAAGAGAATTTCAGGAAATGAGGAGGAAAGTGAGAAGGAAGCACTCCCGAATCCCATTCAGGCAGCTGCAGCATCGGCCCTTGCATTCATGTTGGGGGCCATCATGCCTTTACTGGCTGCTGCTTTCATAATGGACCATAAAGTTAGGCTGGGGGTGGTGGTAGCCACAGTGAGCTTGGGGCTTGTGGTTTTCGGGTGGATTGGGGCTGTTCTTGGGGGGAGTCCTGTGGTGAAGTCTTGTTTTAGGATTCTGGTTGGAGGGTGGCTGGCTATGGCTATTACTTATGGATTGACCATGGGGATAGGATCTACTGTCATGTAGTGTTACACAAGATTGTATTTTCACCATTTTAATATAGTACAGTTTGAAGCTTGAACTTTCTGTTTATTCCACTTAGCCTTAAGGTCGCTGGTTTCAATCATAAAGAGATATGATTGACAAAGCATCAGGGTTTTTCATGTGTATTTAAAACCATGCAATGATTATTGTAGAATGTTGGGGAAGACAAATTGACTATACCTTTTTCATTTTACATATCGACACGTGATGGTGTAGCTGTACGTTATGTGATTTTATAATCATATTTCAAGTACATGTAATTGTTTACAACTTTTGAGCTCTATCCTATGCAACCTTCATAGCTATGGCAGTGCAGTGAGTTGCAGTAAGTTAGTTCCTATAAACATATTAATTAGATTGTGACATTTTGTTTTGTTACTCGTTTTAGTCTTCCCCAATTTCGTTTGTATAAACAGAAATAGCTTGAAGTTGATTTCATGCACCTGGGATTATGCATTACACCCTATTGAGTTTGAGGTGATATGAGCTTTTTGGGCTATTAAATTGATACTTTGATTAATAAGACGTTTAGAAATCATTTATGGCATTGGGCATTTATTAAATTGAGAATTTCTAGGTATTTTCAAGATTTAAGGATGATCAGGACAAATATATGGGAAGTTCGAATTCTCTTATACTGTAACTGATACATCCTTTAACATATTCAGTCAATTATCATAACTAACCAAATTTGAATCTATCCACTCTCATGGGAAGAAAAAAGAAACAAGAATACAAGCAAACTCTAACTTTTGCTTGTTAAAGCGATATGATGGATGGAAGCTCAAGTATTTGTGTGGATCCTGCAACCTTTTGATAAACTAATATTGTAGTTTCCATCTTTAGTGTGGAGTGCACACTCCTTCCAATTTCTAATCTAGGCAAGTGCTATCCTACACAGCTTACCACCTTCCTCTAACTTTTTATTAACTGTGTGATAAAATAAAGGTTAAATTGGTAAATTACAATGGCTTGTCCCTTTTCTTTGTTTAAACTTTAAAGGGCCGTATAATTGTATATTATATAGAAATGAATATGATAGGAATGTCAACAATATGTGTTATCATTGATCTTTCGTATTGTATTTTGTAGGGAGCATATTTTCGTTGACCAAGTTTTCTATATGTATATACTTGAAATTTCTTTTTGCATAGGTAGACCATGACATCACCCCCAATTCGACCAAATCCATCACCTGTCATGGGGAGTTTAGTATACAACAACAAATGGTGAAGTTCCTGTTGAGTTATGAATGACACTATTGTAGGTGAATTCTTGACTAGGGCTGCATACCCCATGTAGATATTCAAGTAGATATAATCGTTTTTACACTTTGTGAGCACTCTCCAACAAAGAGTTTATCCTGTGTAAAGGTCTATATATTCATAGCTGTGGAGGTGCCATGAATGCATGAAGTAGATTTCAAGGAACGTAGTAATATATTGACCCCTATTGTCTTTATGTAAAATGAGATTTTTGGATCAATAAATTGATGTTTTGTTTAAGAAATCGATTAAAACTACCTTAATGTAAGGAAACTTAGGGAACTTGTGCTATTGATTTATGTTCAACATATAAATAGTTATAATACTTATTTTTCCACTACTTGTGGGTTGCCTCTTTTCAGTTTTTAATCCATGGCTTTTGATTCCCATTTAAACATTGAGGGGGATTCCACAATCCTCTAATATAGTAATTATTAAACTTTACAACTTTAGTGTGGAGTGCACACTTCTTTAAATTTAATAAACTTGGCATTAGATTCCCCAAATCCATTCCCTCATTCTTTTATGCAAGTGTCTTCCTAATGATTTACTTTGTCCTTATCTAGTTTGGTACACTGAAACATAGTTAAATATCAGAGTAAAAGCCTTCTCCTTCTCCAGTTCATCTTTATGATGTGGGTGGTGTGGATTCCACACTCCTTCCATTTTATAAACTCATCTTTCCACCACTTTTGGACTGAACACTCCATTTCAGTTATATATATATTTTTTAGATGTTTCATTTTTATATTGAGTGGTTTGTGGCAGTAATAATGTGGATTTATACTATCTTTAATTTTTATGTGAGATTGATTACTCAAACTTCACTTGTGGAGTGCACACTCTTCTATAACTATAACAATCGAGGATCAACTTCACATATAATATTATGTACACAAACTTATTTTAATTGCAGTTGGATTATAACCCAGAAAAAAGATGTGCATGCATTAATTGGTAAGCATGTCACCATGGCTGCTGATACTATTTAAACTATTTCTTGTAATGCTTTCTTTAAAAATCATTATCAGGGGCATGTGGCTTGCACAATCTCAAATTGTTTTCTCAGCATCTACACATTTTGATTATTATATATAGGTAAAACACACACATACATACTATATATATATGTCCTATCTGAGGGGCTCTATCATCAACAATAAGTCCTCTCTGGTTCTTTTTTCAAGATCTATCAATCTTTGTAATATAATATTATCTTTCCTGCTTTGATCAACATCATGGATGTGCAAAATGATTTATGCATTCCAGATCTTAAGGATAAATCCGAACAGGAATACGGGGTGTCAGTAGAGGAAGAATTTGATTACTCAAAAAGGGGACAGTGGCTGTGTGCAGTTAAACAAGATGTTAGAGCCATGGTTCCTACAGGCTTTGCTGGCTTAGTTGCTGGTGTATGCAGTATGACAATTGGTGAGTTTGTTTCAGTCTACTCCCAAAGATACATAGAGGTGGCTCAGGTGAAAAGAGAGACCGCAATTGTGGAAAACGAGAAAAGTATCCATCTGTATAGATCGAGTTATTACATGTTCTACTTGCTTTAGTATAGTTGGGTGAGAGTCTGTTTGAAGCACTTATACTTGTGGTACAAACATGATTATTGGTTCTGTTACTTTACATTCCTAAGGCATGTCTACAAGTGTTATTTCTCTTTTCCACATGGAAGTCCCATATAGTGTTTGAATACCCTTTATTTACACAAGATTATCTTTCATGAAAACATAGTATTTTTAGCGTAATGCCAATATAGACATGTCTTCCAGGTGTAGACAACACAACTAAAGGAGGAGGGAGTCATTCCCTCCCAACTCACTCAACCCACCGCCACATCAGCTATTTTGATTTTCTCTCTCTTCTATTTTTCCTAACTCACAACACATGGAAAGCCTATCTTTCTCAACCCACTTTTAACATCATTCTTTTTTATTTAATTAAATTAGAAAAATATGAAATAAAATAAAATATAACATTTTTCATTTAAAAATAAAATTTTGCTAATTTAAAACAAAAGAAAATCTTAAATAATATTAAAAATAACATTTAATTAAAAAACCACACTACAAATAAAAAAAAATACTCGATAATTGTAAAACACGATAATTAAAAAATACACTTAAAAAAGAGAACATAATTTAAATCCTAAAACGACAATTAAAATTAACTAGTTATTACATATTCAATGTGATCAGTTAGATCGGATCGAAGCTGGTGGTGGGCTTCAACATTGCACAATTCATGTATTATTTCTTAGTCATCTACTTCGTCGGTGGGGGGATCTGATACACAGGAGATATCGCAACACCTTCATCTTTCAATATCATATTGTGTAGTATAATACAAACGTACATTATATTTTTTGTTTTCTTCACCATCATCGCCCATACAAGCATTTTTAATTTGTCTTAACATTCTTTAAGGACCCCAAAAGCATGTTCTACGTCCTTTCTTGCTGATTCTTGTGCCGCCTTGAACCGTATCTATTCGTCAGTTATCAGATATGGATATGCCTTCACAAATACAACCCATGATGGATATATTCCATCCGCAAGATAGTAATCGTGTTTGTAGTGTTCATCATTAAGATAAAATGAACAATCGGGTCTTGTTCCATGATATTTCTCATCAAATAGTGATGATTGGTAGAGGACGTTTAAATCATTATTTGAACCGGCTACACCATAGAATGCATGCAAAAACCATAAATCTTGTGACGTCACCGCTTCTAGTATCATTGATGGATATTGATGGTCACCCCTCATGTATTTGCCTCTCAATTCCGTTGGACAATTCCTCCAATTCCAATGTGTACAGTCAATGCTACCAAGCATTCCAAGGAATCCTTGTCTAGCTTCATGTGCTTCATACAAAAGTTGAATGTCAGTGGATGTTGTACGACGTAAATATTCAGCCTTATACATTTGGACAACACCATAGCAAAAGTTTTCAAGAGCTTCACGGGAAGTTCTTTATGACATATTCAAATACTCATCTAACGAGTCTGGGTTATAACCCTTCGCTAATTGACGCATTGCTGATGTGCATTTTTGAAGCACACTAAACTTCTTTGATTTGTTGAATCCCATGCTGTTTGAAAATAAGGATACTTCATCTCCAGGTCACCAACAAGTCGCATAAATAAACCTTTTCTCATACGGAACCATATGCGGAATTGCGTGTGACCATAGGTTGTGTCATCCGCAAAATAATGTCAGATCAGTAGTCGTTCAGCCTCTAAACGATCTCTATGGATTGTGTTTCTCCTGTGAATGTTGCTTGAACTAGCATTATTTTGAATAAGAAGTTGTGCAGTACGAGACAATACATGTAACAAATTATTATTGATAAGTTCATCCTCAGATGATGAACTATCATCGTTAACTTCCATTACTATTTTCCGAATGCTTGGATTCATTTTGAAAAGAGAGAAACGATAGAGAGAAAATGAAACAAACATATATATATATATATATATATATATATATATATATATATATATATGGCTAGGTTATTTTGTTTCTCACATTTATTGTGTGCTAGAATGCACCAATAGGAATTTAGTAAATTAAATAATTATTTAATTAAATAAATATAGATATTAAATGATTTCCATAATTATATGTATATTAAATGATATCCATAATTATAATTCTCTTTTTATGGAAACTAATTAAATCCGTCATTAATGTCAGCAATAACATTCTTTCAGAATAAATTCGCATCTAGGTTTTTATATATGAGTTTGTATTTTGTTTCAAGACCCACTCATTTAAAATACAATAAAGTTTCATGGAATATGAAGAACGAGAGTGTATTCTACTAGAATACACTCTCATTCTTCTAGATATGAATTCATTCCGAAAGAATATTATTGTTGACATTAATGACGAATTTAATTAGTTTCCATAAAAATGAATTATAAGTATGGATAACATTTAATATACATATAATTAATACTAAATTCTTATTGATGAATTCTAGCACACAATAGATGTGAGAAACATTTGAACATACCTCTCTCTCTCTCTCTCTATATATATATATATATATATATATATATATATATATATATATATATATATATATATATATAATAAAACAAGGATACATATAGAGAATCTTAATAAAAATAAAAATAAAAATAAAAACATAATAAAAAAGAGAAAGATTCTCCAGTCAAATGTTGTCGACATTTTAAACTTCACGGGTTCTCCAACTCCCAACCATACATAGTTGCAATTTGTCGTTTCCTTCCAAGCACCGTGCGTAAAATACCTCCAGTCAAATGATCATGCGGTTGAAGAAAATACTGTATGTCTTGGTTCTCTATCTCCCGATCCGACAATTGATTTCCGTTCTTCATTAGCTTTGTGAATGCACAATTTTTGTTCCCAGTACCGTTGTCTCTGTTCCACCTCTATTTCGGTCGCAGTCTTGATGCCGATAATTTGTTTGACGAGATCAAACATTTCATTTTCTGTTGATGATGTCGATGCTGCTTTCTTTCCTTTTCTTTTTCTCTGAAGCGGTAAGTCTTCAACACTAGACGACTATTGTTGGGGGGGGGGGGGAGAATCCAGGAGGATACTGTGGATCGGAAGTTGATGTGTGGGCGTTGGAGGAAGATGTTTTGGTTCGTTTTGAAGAAGGGGCGGGAAGTTTTCACCAGATTTTGTAACCAATTCCTATTTTGCGTTGTCTTTCAACCACTCCCAAGCTTGCTGATGAGGAAAACATTTCTGATTAATAGTCCACTGATACTCACTTAGTGAAGATTGTAAAACATCAGCCCCAGATCTCCTGCTAGCCACACTGTTCATCCTACGGTTATAGATGCTGTTGAAAGCGTTGCATTTCTTTTGGAGGTCTTTCCATTTTGAGTTTACTTGGTGTCGTGACCGTTCTAAACCTCCCATTTGAACACTAAAATGCTCTAGAACCATCTCCCAAAATGCATCGAACCTTTGTTGATTTCCACATTGATTATCTTTAGAAACATCGACATATGCCCTAGTCAAAGCCAACTTTTCGCGTTCCACCCAGTTCTTTCACTTCTGGCAGTGTGTATACTTGCGTTTTTACTCAACAACGGGTTGTAACTCCTCATTGGTTTCTTCTTCATTTCTTTCGGGAGTCGGGTCGTCACTAGAACTGTCAGATTCTACATTTATGAGCATCACGGAACTGGAAATTATCTGGTTGAGAAGATTGGAATTGGGTTTCTGGAACCCTTTGAGAAAATTGATTCCATGGATTATAACTTTATTTTCATCTGGAAGCCTAAATGTGTTGTAAGATTATTGTACCGGGAAATATTGCTGTTGGTAGTTTTGGTTTTGTTGATAGTTTTAGTAGTTTTAGGATTGCTGATAGTTTGGATTATAAAAATCTTGAAAAAAAAATGGAATATCTTGACTTGAACCACCTTGTGTGGCTTTACGTCTTTGTCTAGAACCAGTTTGTTTAGCTTTGCCTCAGGAATCCGTTGAATGTAACTGAAGAAATTGAGTGAAGTGGTAGTTTTGATATTGTTTATACTTTTGGTTATATATCCGTTCAATTTGTATATCATACTCTCTCTCTCTCTCTCTCTCTCTCTCTTATATATATATATATATATATATATATATATATATATATATATATATATATATATATATATATATATATATAATTTTTTATTTTAAAAGAAAAAAAAAATCATGCAAAGGTTCCTGCAAAAGCACTGTATAGGTAAGGTTAAATTCATTAAATGTCTATATTTTATTGTACGATTTATTTGTTTTATTCATAAAAAAAGATAAAAAGTAGATAGGAAAGGACGAATAGGAAATTAATGCATTGTTAGTCAAAGTGTTCAATCAAAATGGAAAGCAAACATTTTGATTAAGGACATAAATATCTATAATTAAAGGCTAGGTTTCGCTTAAATAAGTTAGAAGGGGAGTGAATTTTCGTGGTGGCTTAAAAGGGGGTGGGGGGGGGGGACCAAAAAGGTTACCTTATATAAGCAAACATTAACTACAAACTTACCCATCAAGCATTAATTAAGGACATAAATATCTATAATTAAATAGATAACTATATAGTTATAACAAAATATGGTTAATTTCAAATTAAGTCCCTTTCTTTTAATGTTTCTAATCAAACCATCAAATTATTGACGAATAAAAAATTAATACATTTATTTATTATCCTCACTTTAACATTGTACTTTTATGTGTAACCCGATTTTCCTATATACTTATTAACAGTGTCACCAAGTTGTTATGTCAGTAGTAATATCTCCCACATGTTGAAGGGGGCGGGGGGGGGGGGGGTGTTTTGAGGTTCGATTGGGATATATAGGGGGTATTTTATGGGAGGGGTTGTCGGAGAAATTTCTACGGCTGAAGGAGTTGGCCGGTGTCGACAAGTCAAAGCAATAGCGAGGAACCGAGGAAGTCTCGTGGTTAGGCATGATATTTTTTTTTCTAAGGAAGTGATTAGCAAAGGTGTTTGGTTCGCCGATTTGATCTAGGAAAGTATACGAAGGTGGATTAGTTGGGGCCATAATTATCTATAATTAATTAGATAACCATTTGGTTATAATTAAATATGCTTAATTACAAATTAAGTCCCTTTCTTTTATTATTTCTAATTAAACCATCAAATTATTGATGAATAACAAATTAATAACTTTATTTATTATTCTGATTTTAATGATGTACTTTTATGTGCAACCCAATATGCCTATATACTTATAAACAATGTCACCAAGTTGTTATGTCAGTGGGAATATCTCTCACATGTTGGGGAGGGGTTGTTTTGAGGTTCGATTGGGAGCCTGTAAGGGAGGCACGTCACGCTTTTCCAATGGCACGTCGCACCCTTACGTATTGGGCAAGGCTTCGGTCGTATTCTGGCACATGGCACGTTCTAGCTGGTTGACGCATGTAAAATCTCCAATATTCTAAAAATCATATCTTTCGCATACAAACTTTGTTTTCGATGTTCTTTATATCCCAACTTCGTATCGATGAGTACTGCAACTTTCATTTATACTCCATCGGCTAATTCTGGTTCTATTTTAAATTTTATAGTCTATGAAGATTACACTGTAAAACTGATGTGTGCAGAAATACCTATCAACTTTTAAATTTATAAACCTAACTACTTAACTAATTTATGCACCTATAGGCAGTGTACCTAGTCGGATTATAGAATAGCTTAGGTAAGTCGGATGTCGAACATAGGGAACGAAATTTCAATTTATAAAATAACTGCTATTAATTAAACTAAGAAAACAAACTTTAAAAGAGGTTTTAATGATTTTGCAAGTTCAGTAATTTAATTCCAACTACTATCAATTAATTAAAACTAACAAGCTTAGAAAACAATTTTACTTCAAGAATTAAAGACTATTTTTGTTCAGTTCTGATTCCCCCTCTCCTATGGTTGATTTCTAGTGAATGGATTTTATTGATTACCAATTCATTAATTTCCTAGTTACTATAATCACATACCTACATGTACCAATTCATGAATTACCATGCAATGATCAAACAGAGGTTAAACACAAAATCGATAAAACCACAAATTGGACTATGAATAATAAATCTAATAGTTACTTTCCTATGACCAAGTCAAGCAACTAAGCACAAATTAAGATTAATTATGTTCTCTAGCACAATTTAAGTTACTAGCTTTAGTTACCTAATCTAGGATGTGATTAATCCTAGATCTAGCAATTTAATGATCATAAACCACTAGGAAAACAAGTTCATGCAAATAAAATGATCATCTACTACATTAAACTCATATCAAGGCATTCAAAGACTAGAACTAAAACATGCTAGGATTTTGCTTATCAAACACAAGTAAAATCAACAATAATCATCCATTAAATCGAAATCAACACATACGATTCGGGTTCATCTTCACCAAACAGAAGTATGGGGTGATTAGCCCATAACTAAAATAGAAACACACACTAAATTGAAGTTAACTAGAAAAGACATGGTAAAATAGAAAACCGAATGATTCAATGATGATCTTTCTTCAATTATCTTCAAAGCTTGAATCCAATTTGAAATCTGATCTTCCCAAGGTTTTCCAGAGGGTTTTTGTCGCAGTCCTTCTCCAGAAAGTTGGCAAGAAATCTCTCAATTCAACCTAATGTTCATATATATATATATATATATATATATATATATATATATATATATATATATATATATATATATATATATATATATATATATATATATATATATAGTCACGACAACGTGGTGAATAGGTTCCATGTCATGGGCATCTTTTAAATCTCTTATGCGGTAATTCACTAGAAGCTTCTAGGTTAGGACAGGTGGCCACATCGTGGCATGAAATTTATGCACAACTTTTTTTCTTTTTCATGCTGCTGCTAGCTTTGACCTCCAAGTTTCCAGCTTTCTTTAAGTTTGGCCCTTTTTCTTAAAGAACGTCTATTTTGGCTGCAAAATGTAATTTAACTCAATAAGTACCAAATATCTTTGCATTTTACCAAATTATAGCTAAAAGGTATTAAAATAATGCCTAAAAACATGTATAAATATGGCAATATCAAAGTACCCCACACTTGCCTTTTGCTTGCCCCCAAGCAAAACTGATTTTTATTATTATCATACTATCACATTTTAACCCTAGCCACCAGCATCGCACAAGACAATCCATTTTGAGCTCATCCATTACATCAAGACTGCAATGCATATATTTGTGTCTAAATTTTCCTACAAACCTCCCCACTCCTGAATACTCACAATCCTCATAAACACTTTCCTATTTCTTTTGAACGGCATTCATTTTATGCATCCCTTTGAATGTATCCTCAGAAATCTTTCTTAACCTCAAGATATTAATGTTAAGCCCCCATGCATACATATAGAAAAATAACCTAGAAAGGAAAATTACAATAAATAATAACTTGGCAAAGTGCCTTATTCTTGAGTCTTTGATTTTTGCATTTCTTGAACTTTTCTTCATAATATTTCATCTTCATAGCTTTAGAGACTCTTATTCACTTAAATTTTGCAACTTTTTTTTTCTTTTCTATTTTTTTTCAATAACTCACTTTTTTCACTCAAATCTAAAAATCCTAAAAAGAAAAACATATGCTGAAGCAAGGAAACTTAACTTATAACGACCCGGAAATCATGCTATAAATTTTTTTTTGTTTTTAGATTAATAAATCGTTAATACATATCATCCCCATAAAACCAGAGTAACTAAATTTTAGAAAAACATCAACAAATCAGAGTATTTCTCAGAAGGCGGAAACATGCGGTGTGTGCTCTGCAATCATCCCGAGCCCTTCCATTTGAAAATCGGAGTACCTGAAACATAAACTGAAAACCATAAGCACAAAGCTTAGTGAGTTCCCCAAAATACCGTACAACATACAACCACAAATTATCATGCACATACATATATGCCATGGTCTTTACCTAGTATGCTTTGGGCTCCCCCATGGTCTTTACCTGGAATGCCATGGGCTCCCCCCATGGTTTGACATCCAATTGTCATGGGCTCCCCCCCACCCCCCGGGGTCTTCCATGAAAGTATCACAGAGACAACTAACATACCACATAACACGTAATGGGTCGACATTGGTGCCTTCGACCCATGGATATAGTCAGAAGACTCACCTCTGACAGCTGAATCCAACGGATACTCTCTGACTGCAGATCTGCTAAAATTCTCGCGCTATCAAACAAATAACACGCAATTTAACAATCGGGTTCCAAACCTAATCCAATAATCCATATATGGGGGGGGGTTAAAATACCATTTTACCCCTCACCTAGGTTAGACCAAGACTAAGGTCCAAACTCCTCACCAAAAAGGCCCAAAGCTACAAGATCCATAAAAGCCCACTAATGTCCCAACCTTCCAAATTGGGCCCAATCCCATATGGGCCTTATCCTAAAGCCCAAAAATTCATTAGCCGAAACAAATCTCAGATGGCCCAATGGCCCAAGCCCATTGGGCCCAATAAAGCCCAAAACCATTGGACCCAGAAAGGCCCAACACAAAAACCTAGGCCCAACAAAACATGTCTAAAAACAAGACCAGATCTCAATAAAATCCCCATACATAAACGAGCCCAGAAATCTAAATAAGACCAACCCATGAAGAAAGACTTTAAGCCTAAAAGTAG